GAGGACATAAGCTTGTTAATAGAATGCATTCTTAACGGAAGAACGAGGTTGTACGACGCACATAATTGGTGGCACGAGGCGTTCGGGTCGCATTATCGGCAGAGATATCACTGTTCCTAAATTCCTGCTCATCTTACGACCTGAGCTTTGTGGGTTACATGACGGTATATATCGGTATGAGGTCGTGGTACTAATAAAAAAAGACTGCTGCGTATCCTAATCTCGGATTCCATTTGAGTTTGTTCCAGTGTGCTATCATCGTAAGAAATTCTTGGCCTTGCCGGTGTAGGTTATCACTGGGAGGAAATGCTTTGCACGAGTATGAATTCCCATTTGAATCGTGAGAGCCAGCGCTAGGCAGACTTCCCTCTTCCCTCCTAATCCCCAGGCCAGACGTGCACTTCTATTTTATATACACATAGCCGAGACTGCTCTCAGAAAACCTCTATACAACCGGACAGGTAATAACCAAAAGGCTGCCTATTTCATTAGTACCTCCTTACCCCTGAATTGTATTAGATATAGTAACTGTTCGTTTAAAGGCTTTCAACCACAGGCGTGACGATTGGTTGAGTCATGGAAGGATGTCTATGGCCGTCCTCATCACTAATCCTATCTACCCCCGGGAAAACGATTATGTGATTCGGATTCACGCCATCTTCGAAGCGGAATCGATACTCCGAGGGCTGAGATAATAATAAATAGCCAAACGTAGCACATTCTACAATTAATTCCCGCAAGTGGTTCTCCTGCTCGTATCTGTCATCGCGATCGCCCGCTACGAATGGCTCGAGGAAGACATTCAGGGCCTCAGCAAGTCGTTGCGCTTGGCGAGTGCTAACATCTTCAGATGGGACTAATGGTGTCCTATCGCTCCTGTTTGGGTGAAGCAAGAAGGCGGATAATTGTCGCCATCGAGTGAATGCGGCATCGACGGCTATTATAATCATATATGTATCAGTACTTGCAATATCATTAACCGGGCTGCCCTGCTTACCGTCCGAATTTCCTCTGAATCTCTCCGTAGCTGGTATCAAGGAGGCGAACGAGGATACCGGCTGTGGAAGTAGAGATAAAGGAGAGGTCCCGTCGAGGGTGATGCTGGCAAATGTAACGCTAGAAATGATGTGCTGAATAGCACTGCATCGAGTTCTCGGGTTTAGGGCTAGAGAAGCAAGCGTATCGGCCAGTAAGGCATCGCTCTGGCCTACTCCTAGACGAACCAGCTCTGCAGATAGGATATCTACATTACGCGAAACCGGCAGGTTGTGGTAGTTATTTTCGACATGTTGCTGCAGTAGCTGGCTCAACGATCGAAGCTCGGTGCGTATTCCAGCATCCGGGGTTGGATCTAAGAGAAACTGGTCCAGCTGCAGTCTATCTGTTGATATATGACTCCGCAGAGGCTTCTCCTGGCCATCGTATTCACCTCCACGCGACCTATCGCCCAACCCTTGTCGCCTACGCTGTCGGAATAAGAAAATCCCTGATATAATTCCCATCATCAACCCCGCGACAGCACACGCGATAGCAATCCCAGCAACGGCCCCACTGGAGAGACCTGGGTTGCTTACCGACTCGACCGACTGGGTAGCATTTATGAGCGACGGTGATACTCGGCTCGAAGACGTACTCGACCTATCCGTTGTGGATGTAGAAGACGTTGTTGAGGAGGAAGTAGTAGTGGAAGTGGTCGCGAAGGAGTTCCATAATTGCGTCGAAAAGCCAAACACAGTCTGTCCTGGCGCCCTGGTCCATACATCAACTGCTTCATAAGAGGTCCCTGTAGTATATACGGTAGAAACCGTTGCCTGCGATATCGATATCTCTGCCATTGTGCTGAGTACCGGAATCTAGATAGCTTCAAATCCCACCTGGATTCGTGATTATAGAAATAAGACAGACAAGGACCCAGTGAGGTGATAGAGAACACCGTTATTGTACAATACGGTACGTGGGTATACTCAAAATAGCACAAAAGAGTATCCCGCAAGCCGGGTAACACAGCCCCGATTACTGTAGGGCACGAGTGGGATCTGCGGTACGAGGACAACATTCAAGGCGTCATTACCCGATCTACTAAGAAGCCTCTACATACTACGATACAAAATGAGGATATTAAAAGTACCAACACAACAACTCGTGTTAGCTACTACTTCCACTATTGGCTTCGAATTAACTTGTGAGACCTGGTTTGAATTAGGTATATAAACTAAAAGCTGTTTCCGGAGACACATGGTCGTTGAATGACCGGTGAGACGTACCTATGCTGGGGAAGACAGGGAGACAGAGAGACGGGGAGATAAGGCGAAAATGAGGATGAGGATGAGCAGGGATCAGCCGCGGCCTGTATTGTTAGATGGATGCTTTAATGAATTGGGGGCTTAAAGCTATACTCGATTTGACCAGTTAAGATGATACACATCGTTACCGGATTTGCTACCTACTCTTGAATAACGTACAACTAAACCTCTATGTAGGGGGTTACACTTTGAGCGACTTGAAATAGTAATGTTTGCTTGTGGCATCGTACCATTCTATCACAACAACGCCAACATTCTTTGTTAAGCGGAATGAACAAGAATAGTAGAAGTTTGCCGAGGGGTCTTAGCACAGCCATGAGCCAACAAACGATCCCATCTCCACACGACCCAGACTTTAAACATATATTATTTCAATCTTAAGGACGGGGAAAAATGTGATCCATGCGCAGCGTCTACCGACCCAACCGGGATACACAGCCTTATTAGGTATTAAGGGATAGGGTACAGGATTCCATACATACCTATGTAGATCAATCCCTTGTTCTTTCCAACGTGGATCGGTCGTAACGGGTATTGCTGTAGGGCCTTTTGAGGCTCTCAGGTAACGTCCACTTATTTGTCAAACGAGCCGAACATTGTAACCTAGAGCAATCTTAACAGATACCTTGTTGTTGTCGTCGTTCGACTGAAAATCAACACAGCCTTTTATATACTTAGGCATTTTAGATATGTTTCTGGTTACTCGACAATTCTCAAGTCATGCACGTACGAAGTAGATAGATGCGTGTAGTAGCCCACCATGGCAAGCGAACGACCTGATATACTTGTAGCCATTGACTTAGGAACGACTTACACAGGCAAGTAGCATATATCCACCGCTCCATCTTCGTTATATCGTGCTTACTTACCTCTGCGTAAAAGGTGTCGCATGGGCGCGACCGCAGCGGAATCAGACTCTGCAAAGCCCTATCCAGATCATACATAACTGGCCTGGCACCTCGACTAAGAATGAACAGAAAGTTCATACTTGTCTTGTCTATAATGATGACGAGAGCTTGTCATCGTGGGGCTATTTGTGCGAAGATGAAGATATGACAGATAAGAAGAAGCGGGAATTCTTCAAGATCTTTCTCGATCAGCGGACGTTGGAGGATGCACACCGCCGAAACGTGGGCCAGACACCTAGCTCGGTCTGCGATGCGCAAAGGTCAGTCTCTGACTACCTACGCGAGGTTTACTCGCACGTCAAGTCAACCGTGGAGTTGCATACCGGCATAGGCCACGTGGGATGGCAGGAACTGATTGTCGAATTCATCTTCAGCGTCCCGACGACGTGGAGAAGCCAGGAGATAATCAACTCGTTCAAGAAGTGTATCGAAGATGCAGGGTTTGGCATCGAGGGGCGATACCACACGGCCAAAGTCGAGTTGACAGAGTCTGAGGCGGCGGCCGTCGGTACCATCAAGAACTCACCTGTGGTTTTTGAAGCAGGCGAAATTTTCCTGTCTGTCGACGCAGGAGGGGGGACTACAGACCTCGCCCTGATGCAGGTTGTCGAGGCGCGGCAGCCGTTTCCGTTACTATCTCAACTGAATCAAGTAGACGGCGTTGGGATTGGCTCGACCTTAATCGACCAGGCTTTCGTAACGATGATAAACAATCGTCTCAGTCGGTTTTCTAGTTTAGTAGACCAACTCCCTCCTGACTGTGCTGCAAGACTTGTCAAGAGCGAGAGATATCGAACAACGAAGCATAAGTTCGGGGAGCGAGTTTACCAATCAACTTGTTATAAGCTCCCCTTAGAAGGTGTTCCTTACAATCTCAGTCACAGTGGCGCACAGATCGAGCTCGGTAGGATAGTAGTCTCATGGTACATCAGTTCTAGACGCCATATTGGACCAGTTTGGATCTAACAAGCCTCAAAAATAGGGAGGAGATGCAGTCCCTCTTTGACCCGCACGTCGAGGGTATCATGAAAAAGATACACGAACAGCTAGATTGGATGTTAGCTAATGGCATTAATCGGCCGATAGTAAGTTTACACAATAGCTTCACCGAGGACTAAGAGGCTGACACACCGAATTCAACTAGAGCTATATGATTCTATCCGGCGGACTTGGGAGCTCCAAATACGTCCGCGATCGTATTCAACATGAAATGATGACTAGCTCATACCCACACGCCCATCAAGTCAAGGTATTACAAGCCCCTGATCCGCAACTGGTTGTTGTGAAGGGTTTATTGTTAGACAGATTACAAAACCTGGAGTCCGGACTGGTTCCAGTCATAGTAAGTAGAGTAGCCCGGGCGAGTTACGGTCTTATATGCAAGACAAAGTACAATCCAGACATACACTTCGATGAGGATATTAAGACGGACGCTTACGACGGAGAGCAATATGCTATGGGCCAGATCGACTGGCTTATTAGAAAAGTATGCATTATACACTCCTATTTTCTCTGACAAATACTAAAGTACCTAACCTACTCACTTACCAAGGGCGACTCTATAAACACGAATGTTCCCATCATTACGACTTACACCAAGAAAGTGGACCCGAAAGATTCGAACCGCAGTTGGGATTCGATTGTCGTGATTTCAGACTTGGATCCTTACCTTTTACCACGCAGCGTTAATCAAGGTGAGTCACCCGAGATGTTATAACACCCAATAACGTGTAAATAACGTATATTTCGTGCTCATTCCTAGTAGAAGGATTCAAACAGCTCTGCGTAGTAAAAAGCGACACCACGGGGATAAGCCACAGCGATATGGTTATGAAGCGTAAATCAAGAAGGTTCTTGTTCCACGGCAAGAAATTCTACCTGTGCAGTTACGAGGTCCGGGTTCTCGTAGCCCCCGCGGAGCTGAGATTCGAGCTGTGGTTTGCCGGGCAGAAGTTCTCGGGGAACCACGAGCCCATCAAAATCACCTGGGATGCCGAAGGATCTAAAGTCGGCGGATAATAGTTAATCAAAAGCAGGTCTTGGGTTGGATAGCCTGATATATTCATGTCATAACTTGAAGCTAATAGTAAAGTAATATGAAAAACCTTCATCGATATATCAGTCGATATGGGGTATTTTCTTCATTGTGCATAGAGCCCCGTGGCTGCTACCAGTTAAAGGGGTAGGTGGGATAACTACGCCGCGACTCTAAATACACCTGATTCAATAAGCAGGCCGATTCAGCAGATCCTTGATCTTGTCCTTCATGCTTGTGCTACTTCGCCGACGCTGCTGAGGATGATCAACCGTGTTGGTGGCGTGGCAGTCGCCGCTGGAGGGGTGCCGAGTGGTACCGATGCGGTTTGTCCGGCCTCACCAGCAGGGTCAGTATATTGTATCATGTGGTTCTTACATTATATAGGATATTTAGTAATGCTCACACACGAAGTCACCTCTTCCAGCGTCGTCGATCACTGCCTGGTACTTCTCCTTGGCCGCGAGAAAAGCCTTTGACATGTTGGGATTATTTTGAAATATTGTTTCAATCTAAGTGGTGGTATGATGCTCAGATGGCTTTGAAGTTAAACCTAAGGTGTGTAGGTTGAAGGTTTGAGTTCACGTTCACCTTATAGATCGATTAGACCTCCACCTATATATATAGAGAGAAATGTATCGGCCATGTTAGCTGGGGGTTGACCCCTCACTGTGATATCAGCAGGTTGGAGGTTGAAAGCTTCTATTGGGGTGATCTACATTGTTCGACTTCATCCTAAAAGGCAATTGGCTGTTGAGTATCAATGAGCAGAGAATGACGGAGGCAGTTCATGACTCCGACGTAGTGAAGTCTCCGTACCGGTACCTATAGTCCTATGCAGGTAAAGAATATCTTAAGGGGAGCGGGGTGAGACATCTCAAGATTGATAGGACATCGAGCATCACCAGGCATTTAAATAGATTCGTCTGGTAGCAAGTTGTCAAGTCGAGAGGAGAGATCAAGGAGCTCGAGATGATATTTCATACAGCAGCCCTGCCAAGTTATATTTATGTTAGCTAACCACAACGTTGCTGAAAATGGCTGTGACTTGTCTAAGACCATGTAGCTGAAATTGACGTCAAATGCAAGACAAGACGAAAAAAGGGACCATATGAATTATTCCCCAGGTTTGAGGCTTTCAAGTACATAGGTACATTAGGTATGTACATAAGGAGATCGTAACTGGAGTACGAAGGGTTTGTACCTTAGGAAGTACCTACCCAACATAAGGTAGCGCTAAAACGTAATTACCACTAAGATGGGCCAAACTTTCAATTTATTTTCGTAACCTGATTGGTAGATCCTGCCCAGCCCCCCAAATCCCTACCACCATCGAACACGAGCACGGTCCACCTTTCGATCGTTCTAAACTTGTTCTTGCCAAACTTTGGCTAGTGGAACTTTCCCAGCCATGCAGCCATGTCTCACCCTTTTTTTTCCATGGCAACGAAGCGCTAGAAACTCCATTCTTTAGCCAACTTCCAACCACCACCACCACCACCCCATCATTCCCACCTTCCAGCCCAGCCCAGACGTTTGGCCGAGCAACGAAGCCAGACGCAAGGACAAGTCGTTCAGCCCTGGCCATGTCATAGTACAATACCGTGTTAGCAGGGCCTTAATAGTCATTCGTTCTAATTTACATACTGCTGTTAATAATACTAATTATACTGCGCCCCTCTCCTCGCTTTACTTTCGTTTCCTCTTCGAGCCCTCATCGAGCCCTCATCGCCTGGGCTCCATGAGATCATCGGCATAGCGCAATCCCGTCCAATAGTAACGACTACCACATATCTCACCCGCATCATTCGTTATCCTCTACGTTTTACCCTCTCGCGTATAATCACGCCGAATAGGTATTAAGTAAATCGCTCGTCGTCGCCGCCGACAAGATGGGTGGTTTCGGGGACTTCACGGATATATGCCACACGGCACCCTTGCCGTTGTGTCCGTCTGTCGGTCCCGTCACTTCCATCTCGAGCGGTGTCGGCGTCGAAACCGACTGCTTCGCGCGAAATATCGAGCTGGCCAATACCATCATCTTCCAGGGCGCATCTAGTTTCATACACATTATCGCTCTGGTCATGACTATAATGATGATCTTACATGTCCGAGGGAAATTCACTGCCGTTGGTAAGCACCATTCGTATTAAGTAACCTACAGAGCGATTCGTATAATCCTAACCGAAGTCCGTTTGCAGGTCGCAAGGAAATCTTAGCCTTCTTCTACTTTTACATGCTACTGTCGTTCATATCCCTCTGCGTCGATGCCGGTGTTGTTCCTCCAGGCTCCGAACCTTATCCATACTTCGTTGCCATACAATCCGGTCTCACGTCCGCGCTGATCACCTGCCTATTAATCAATGGATTCGTCGGCTTTCAGCTCTACGAAGACGGCACCCCCTTGTCCGTATGGATGCTCCGGCTCTCCTCCTTTGCAGCCTTTGCTGTCTCGTTCCTCGTATCGCTAGCCACGTTTAAGTCATGGGCCGGCATGGGGCCGGCAAATACAGTAGGCCTATTCACGGTTCTATATCTCCTGAACGGCGTACAACTCGTCATTTACGTAGCTCTGCAGATCTTGCTCGTGTCCCGGACCTTAGAAGACCGTTGGCCGCTAGGAGATATCGCCTTCGGCCTCTTCTTCTTCATTGTGGGGCAAGTCATATTATATGCGCTCAGTTCCACGATTTGCCAAGCGACTAGTCATTATGTTGATGGCTTGTTCTTCGCAACAACCTGTAATCTGCTTGCCGTCATGATGGTTTATAAGGTAGGCCCTGCTCACATTAGCCTTAGCACTCAAGTTTTCTAACGTTGAATTTGTAGTATTGGGATTCGATCACGAAAGAAGACCTCGAGTTCTCCGTAGGTACACGGATGAATAACTGGGAAGTGAAAGAGCTTCTTCCCGAGGAAGAACGCCGTGCTACTGTCTATATGGACGAGCCTTACGGTCACTCTAGCCCTTACGACCATTCCTCCTCTCCTTCAAGAAACCGAATGTCCCGCTATTAGTTGCCCGGTATTGCGGAATCTTCGCACGGCGAGAAGGAAGAATCCGAGAGAGAAGATTGCAAGAAAGGAGAGATTATCTGCGTCGAGGTGACTTGAAACGTTCAGAAGTACGTTGCATTTGCGAGGCGTCTTGGTTTGGCTGGTGAGCTTATGTGGGTTCCATTGGAGCAGTAGATGAACATATTCAATATCAGGGTGTTGGCACTTGCAGCGATTGCAGGATTAGGATTGCATGCTTAAAATGGGTCTGATGTGGAAACTGCAGCGACGACCGAAGTCGAGTAATATACCTATATATTGTACATACCGAGTATTCAACTAACACGAATATACGAATCTATTTTGATGGAATTTGAATGAACAGATGCCCTTGCGGCGTTTGCACAGGTACCTATTGATTGTCTGTAAACACTTCGGTTTGGGCATGTAGGCGTCAGGCGCTGTCGTGTTTTATGTAGTGAAGCCTTCGTTGACTATTTATCAAGGTCTGCTTTGGCCGAAGGGTTGGTATTGAGACTCCTGACCAGACCCAAAGAACCATACATAATACCTTAGAACGCCTTGGCATAATCTTGAGGTGTTCTCGTGAGACTCTGGCTTTGTCTAGAACTAGATCCCGTATCGACTTATCCACCTTCCCTAGAGGATGTAAAATTGTCGTCTCTTCTTTTGGACCCAACCATCGTCTCGGAGTATATAACGCCACTCTACCACCTGTTGGCGATGGGACCGGGTTCGTTATATATGTCGGTTGTTCAGTTGCTCATCGTCAAGAGTGATGGCTCCAGAGCCTAAAAACCAGGCAGGCCATACTGGATATCACGGACGCCGATATACGGTCTCGTCAAATCCTGGTAGCATATATCCGAGCCTGGCATGGTATGATAAATATATAGGCCATTTCGTAGCTTCAGAATCATCAGCGCCTTTCAGTCTCCGTCGTCGTTAAAGCTGAGCTTGATCTTCTTCGCCTTCTTCTTGGTCTGCTTCGTTCCCGATTTAGCGTCAGCGGCGGGTTTATTGCTGTTCTTTGCCGAAGAGCTTTCTTCCTTCTCTCGGCCTTTAATGCTTCTTGATGGTTTTTGCCCATCGTCCTCAACCCCGTCCTCGTCGGCACCGCCAACCACCCGTCCCACCTTGCGCTTTTTGCCTGCCCCGATGCCAGCTATTTTCTCCTTTTCCCTCTCTTTCTCTTTCTCTTTCTCTTTCTCTTCCTCGCTGTCTATTCCGGCATTATTCCTACCGTCTACGTCGTCATCTGCAGAAACGTCCGCGTCTGCGTCCGCGCCGGACGGGAGAGCGATGGTGTTCCCCGCCTCGTCGACGACGAGAGGCGCGTCCTCGGCCTCCTCGCTGGCGGACCGCGGCCGTGCTGCTCGTCGTCGCGCAGCTAAGATAGGGTCCGGGGAGTCGGAATCGCGCTGCTGTTGGTGTTGGCCGCGGAGCTTGGCTAGGAAGGGAGGTAGATCGCTCGAGTAGGCAAGATTCTTGGAGGTGATTTTTGGCTCGTGTTGTTGAGAAGACATGGTTTGGTGCTTCTCCGTCTCTCAGGCCAGTTTTGTTACTAATATCCTAGACCTACACCTTGTAGGGAATTATTATTTGTGGTCAAGAGGGAGGAATTATGTATATGTACCTAGGTAGTATGTAGTAGAGGGACTGGTTCCCTGCGCTAGTAACAATGGGTCTTTAGCTCCAAAGATCTTTTATGTAGGTAGGTACCTAACAGAGTACCACCTAGGTACCTATTACTTAATGCCTTAGGTACCTAGGTACTTTGTATTACTTAATTCCATACGTTACATACATAGGTACATAAGGTAGGTACACCTCGTATAAGAAAGTCTACCATGCTTTACAGCTTTCCCTAAGTGGTTTAATAACATTTTCGCAGTACTCGACCAAAAATTCATCCCTCTTCCAATCCTGCAACCGACTCGAACAAATGCGTAAACACCCTTCAATCGCAGCACAATGATATTCTGATAAATTATTCGAGGTTTGGAGCCATTTGACTGCCGCTAGCATTCTGTCGCCCTCGGAATCTAATGTGTCCCTTCCCATCCACATCTCGAGTGGCTTATGGTTCCAGATTTCCAGTAGTAGTATTGCCAGTTCTATCAAAACTGGTTTCGGATCCGGACCCCTGGCAGTGTTCGGTCTCTTTGCTTGACTCTTCTTCACCACTTGTTCTACGAACGGCCTGACTGTAGCTGTTTCCGCATTAGATACTTTCGGTAGTAAGAATTTGATTCGTCGGCTATCGAACGTTGAACATTTCGCTGACACTTCGACTTCTGGCTCGTAGGAAGTTCGAGAAGCATTGACTAGAGCCTCTTGTAAATCGCCATTCAGTTCAAGGACAAGGCTGAATATGGTTTGAACATGACGCCGTTTTTTATCTTGCAAGGGCATACGGCTCTCCAGCTGCAGCAGAACTTTATGCCCATTTGAACAATCGCACGTACAGACTTCACGCATAGCTGCGAATAGTGGTGCTATACTGGCCTTGACCCGTCGGAATGTCTGGGCAAGTTGAGCTGCCTTGCGTGTGGGTTTCGGATTATATTCTTGATGTTTTTGCATGGCATCGATCAGGATTTTGAGACATTGCCGATCATCACGCAATTGAGCAATCAAGTCCCTTAATTCGCTTCTTCTAATTGTGAAATTAATGCTCTTAGTGAATCCGAATCCTCCTCTGCCATTGTCGTTAATGGCTAGAATCTTACTCAAGTCATAGTCATCCTCTTTCGCCTATTGGAATATTAGCAATGCCAGCCGGGACTCTTCTGGTGCTTGGGAAGAAATACGTTATGAGGGCGAACAATGTGTGTTAACTTCGTCACAATAGTCTTGAGGCGACTCTCATATCTTCTTAAGATTTCCAAAAATTTATTATGGAAAGAGTCAAAAAATTCTTTCATCTCATCACTATCCGTCATCTTTCGCAATATTTGAACACATTCTTCTTCTGATGGGATGCCGGACCTGTTTACGACTTCCTCCACTCCGACCAGGCGCAATAGCTCGACGATATCAAGGTGAAAGGCTAGTTTCTGGTCGAGTAGTGCTTGAGTTAGATGGGAAAGTAGAACTTTCCATTGAAGCATCGATGCCAGTGCACCCTTGGACGCCTTGTAATCTTCCACGGCAGAAATAACCAGGGGAATGACCCCCAGAATCACGCCAGCGATCTCAAATCCTGACATCGAGCTTCACTATAGGTTAGATACTTAGGTAGGTATGTATAGAGCAATTCAGTAGAGGCAGCAATAAACAAAAGACCTCCTCATCCAAATATTTCTAAATGGAGTCAATCGAGCTTAAACGTACTGGAGAAATTATATCTAGGGCTTTCGATGAACTAGATACTCTCCCTACTCTTGACCAGTGAGTGTCCTTGGCAGAGTTGCCAGCGTAATTTATTCCTTGGCGAGAAACAGCGGTTCAGGATGTGGGCATATGGCCTAGGTCTATATCAAATCGGACATGCATCACTAGATTATCGTGTGCGAGATGTCACCATTATCAAAGACCGCCTGGCCGATATTCTGGCGAATTTACAAGAACATCTCGAGAGCCTGTTGTCTATTTTCAAAGGCGAGAGAGTCCCATTCGAGCAGAATGCCGATATTGACATAGATTCCGATCGAGGCTCTACCGATGAAGACTTGACCAATAATGATACCACATCCAATATCAGCTAACAAAGTACCTTGAGCGATGACAGGTCTTTTCATGAGATCGACTTCCGCCTTGACAGCTTAAAGGAAGGTCTAGACGCACTGTATAGTTTAGCAACAAGGATTAGAAACCCACGCAACCGACCCCAACGTCCGAACACCCAGCTTTATAAAAATGTACCAGCTGAAAGCCGATCTAAGTACATAGAAGAGCGAGAAGAGGCAGAGATTAAAGTGGTAGAATATGAACTGCGCGAAAAACTGAGGCTGGAACTGAAGACAAGTGAGGGCAAATCCGAGCAAATGACAGAGGAAGAAATCGATCGTTATATTACAGAGCACCTCTGGCTCATTCGCAGGACGGGTATCGCTAATGCTCGCCGTAGGCAGCAAATTGTTTACTGGAATATCCATGCCACAAAGCTGAGCCAAGCGCGTACCCAGAATGGACCGCCCATACAGATTCACGAAAAGTCCAACGAAAAGAGTCGTGGTATCAGGCTTCTGAATCCTCTCCAGTACGAGCAGGCAGGTCAAGTAGTAAGATATTACTGTATATATAGGGCAAAACATGATGTTAACTATCTCCTATAGGCTACATATTTTCCATGACTTGCAACCGTACCACTGTACCTACAAGGATTGCCATGATCCCCACAGACTCTACGGGACACGTCAAGACTGGGTCAACCATGAAAGCCAACATTCTCAAGTATGGCATTGCCGAGATCATAACGAAAAGTTTGAAACAGAATCCGGATATATAGACCACCTGAGGGCACTGCATCCTGAAGTTGATATGAAGGGTTCCCTCTTAGAACTTATATCCATCGCTATCGAGCCCTCTCTTAGATCAAGTCGTGACTGTCCCTTCTGTCTCAAAGATTTTCCCGAGATTACGGGTATGGACATTCATATTGCTTCCCATCTTGAATAGCATGCACGACGCACGCTACCTCTGGACGAAGACAAATTAGAGGGATCGGATTACTTGTCGGATAGCCAAAAGGTCCAGCACCACGGACGCCGAGATTCTATCGCTAAGGACTTCGAGGATGAAGAAGAACCGTTTACGACTGCCACAATCACCCCCCAAGTTAATGAGCAGAACCGCAAACAAGATGTGATAGAAAACAGCTCGAACCATGTATCTTCTACGGAAAATAACAACAGTCTAGAATCATGGTTCAGTGGGCTCAAGAAACTTCTGGATGATACTCCCAGTGAAGGGACACTATCCGCAGAAGACCCTACAAAACGCACAGCTCCCGGAGAGACTACAGCAAACTATCAATTAGAAACATTTTCGAGAGACGATCAAGAAAAGGCTCAGCATATCCATGATCAAAGCAAAGAGGTTGCAATAAACTACCAGCCAATAAGGTTTCTATTAGATAACCCGAATAGCGTTCAACATATCAGTGACCGAGGCGAATATATTTTAACGCTCTTCGTAATACTCCCGGTCAGCATATCCTACCCCAGATATACCAGCCAATAACCCATAACATTACCAAAATCCACGAAACCATTGAGGAGGAGCTTGACCTCTCTCAAGTCTCCAGTGCTATGGATCACGGTAAAAGATACATCCCGAGGGACAAGCTTCAGGGCATTCTTACTGTCAAGAGGATTCGAGCCATTGTAACCCTACCCTTCTTCCAAGACTTCCCGAACAAGGACGACTTAACTAGACGCATATATTATGGATCAACGGATTCAAACCCTCTTTCAAAGTTATTGGCCGTCTTCGTCGGGATCGGGAAACTAGAAGACTTCCCGAAATGTATCGAAGAGGGAATAGATGATGGTTGTCTTCCAATGACAGCAGACAACCTTAGCGATGGTAAAATGTCTCTCTACTGCGAAGCACACAAGACGCACCATGCGACTATCAATAAATTTCGTCGACCTAACCACAGATTACAATTTACGCAGTGGTCATACAGGGTAATCGCACCGTGTATCACGTCTACGAAACAGGAACATTCTCACTGCTATCTACACGCCAGTGACATTTTCCCCATGCCCTCTGGGAAAAAACTACAGAAGCAAGACACGATGAAGCAACATATGACGAAGCAAGACAACAAACCGCAAATGACGGAGGTGGCGTTTGCATATGGCGGGTTTAGTGAAGTGTATCAAGTCAAGATTGGTAAGAGTCATCAATATTTTGAAGATATAGGGGTAGGTTCAAGAGATTCCTTGACGACATTATGGATGACGAGCCTAATTTCTTACTAGATACGCCATCCCGAGAAAATGTTTGCTTTGAAGAAGCTCATCTCTCATGATCGGAACAACTTCAACTTGGAACTCTCATCCCTGTTATTCTGTATGGATGAATCCATTAAGAAGAAAGCCGATAAGCACGTCATCCAGCCTCTTGCGACCTTTGAAGTTGAAGAGCCCGCAGTTGATGGTTCGACTTATTATATTCTCTTCGACTGGGCTGAGGGTAATCTTAATGATTTCTGGAAGAAGAACGATCATCTTGTCGGGGTCAGGGATCATTGTAGATGGATGTCTCGTGAATTCTATTCACTCTGTTTGGCGCTCGAGTGTGTTCATAATGAACGCAAAGAGACATTGAAGTTCATCGACAAAACCGCGCTTGAAAAAACCCTATCAGGAAGACCTCACGATGCCAACAACTTATATGGGCGCCACGGAGATATTAAGCCGGATAACGTCCTTTGGTTCGATCCCCCCCAGCGACCACCACCTCAACAAAGGCATTCATCATCGAAACAAGGACCTTCGTTACCAGGAAATCTTGATAGACTAGTTCTATCTGATTTTGGGCTTGGCAGACTACATACTCAAGTCTCTCGATCGAATCGAGATCCAAGGAACATCGCCAGGATAGAGACATATAGGGCGCCAGAGTTTGACCTAAACGATGGTAAAATCTCTCGCGCATCCGATATTTTTAGCCTTGGGTGCGTATTTCTCGAATATGTTACCTGGTTTTTATTAGGAAACGAAATCGTGACAGAAAAGTTCCCTACCCATAGACTCGAGTCAGATATCTACACATTTGAGTCAGATACTTTCTTCAACATTCGTTTGGATGCGCAAAGCGGCAAACAGCGACCCTTTCTAAAAGAAAGTGTCAAATTTTGGATCGAACAGCTCCAGAAGCACGAAGATTGCAGTTGGTACTTACACCAACCCCTTGATATCATAAGGGATAAGATGCTCGCACCAGACCGTGAGAAGCGAATCCATATTATGGAACTTATTAAGGATATGGATGTACTTCGTCAAACATGTGAAAGGAATGTCAGCTTCTATTTGAAGACCAAAAGTGAATCTTAGGTTTATCAATACTGTACAAGGTAATATTCAGCATCAAATACCACCAACTTCAAGTAGGATCAAGAGATATAGGGCCAGTGCTGGTTAAAGATGGCACGGGTTGGCGTTAAGGTTTTGATAACAGTTTTTCTTTATATTCCACAACAATATACTCGCCTTTTCCCAGCGTTGGAGTTGGTGATACGAAAATAATTTTAAACCCCGTGCTAAGATGTATTCGACTATATTGTTAATGGATATGTTTGACTGGAGTGCCCAAGATGGAGGCTCTGTTGTGTCCAAGTACATCTGGCTGTTTGCCACGCTCGCAATTGGACTCACCGCCATCACAGTCTACGCCTGGTATCACATTACCATCCAGCGTGAGAGAAAAGCGGACGAAGAAGCCTCGGAACTACAAGTAAAAAAGGAAAAGTTGGTTTAAGACAACTTCATCATATAGTATATAGTATTAAAGTAGGCAGGATTTATATTTTGAATCATACTCAATTACATGCTTATATTTAATAAAAGGTCCCTATTCCAAATCATCACGCCAACAACCTAATTCCAGCCGTAATACATATACCTTTTTACGACAACAAGGACAGAAATAACGCAATCCATGTTCCAGGTGCCTCTAACATTATTACCAATTCGACAACACCGCCATCAACTCTTTCTGGTTTCATTTTTATGGAAACACATCTTTCTCCCGTTTATTACATAGAGTATCCTCATTAAACGTCATGATATTCGTGCCGTGTTGTTTTCGGATATTCTAAGTGTCCCTGGAGAAAAATGGCCTGGTTAGATAACACCGACGTGATATATAACATGGAATGAGGATGGATCACGTACAGCAATGCCAAGGTCAGATCGCCGTGGATGCGAGCCTTGAGCGTTACCTCCACCTCGAGGTTAAGGTCGAGACGCAGCTTGAGGGTGTCCGACTTGCTCTCACTGCCACCTTGCGGCTGCTGCATCATCTGCTGTTGTTGCTGTTGCTGCATCATCTGTTGCTGCTGCCTCTGTTGAAGCATCTGCTGGTCATCTTGCTGTTGGAGTGGTTGCACCGACCCGGGGCGACGTCGGTTGCGGCGACGAGTGCGAGGCGGTCGCGATGTTTCAGATGCATGGTCTGAAATATCCGAGTGGTCTGTCTCCTGAGTCGCCGCCTGCCGCCTCTGAGGCTGCTGTTGCTGCTGTTGCTGCTGCTCATCACCGCTGGAAGACATTGTATCTTATGTAATATAATAGTAACAAGATAGATGGGTGAAGTTGTTTTTTAATATAGCGAATATAACGTCAAAATTAATTAAAGGTTAGCTTTATCGACCAGTCCGTTGGAGCGCGGCTAGGTGCTTATTTGTAGAGGAAGCTCGTGTCTGAAAGCTTGCAAATGGCAGGATTTCCAACATGTACGTTACTCGAGTCAATCGACGATAGGGGCTGAAATTCAACGTCACCGTTTGATGCACCTCCCACCTATAATGTGGCTCATTCAGAAGGGGATGAGCCAGTCATATACTTAAAAGTTCGTACTGAATCCTGATTTCGAATCTCTTACATCATGAGGTGATACGGGAATTAAGGTATTCCCTGACTGATAATTGTTAGCGGTCGAATCAGAGGCCGCACCGCAAGCCTTATGCGGTAATTGGTAATTTGACGTTGAAGTCCCCACTCTTCCCGCTCTTCCCATTCTTCCCACTCTTCCCACTCCGCACCCTAAATTAGGTAGGTACCCTAAGCCTTATATCCCCACCATCTTTCCATAAGGACAGGGGTCATTACATACTGGTCATTAGTATATTCCTGTTCGATCTCTACGATCTCTCCTTTACCTGCACGTAATCAATACGGAGATTCGTACGCTTTTTTCTTTCGTTACCATGTAGTTTAACCTAGAGTTTCGAGCGCATTGGCTAAATTGTCCGTGACTTGTCTGAGGTAATAAGCCATAATACTCGCTTCGCAGCTTGTCGGCAACAAGTTTAGAATATGTGTTATTACAGCTGCCTGATTCCAACTATCCACATAGAGACACATGCACATGATAGAGGAATCCATCGTTATCGTAACCTTAATAGTTGATGTGATACGCGACCCCTTGGTGTACCTTACTACCTTATGCGAATTTCCCTGCCTTATACGATTATATTTTGGCTCTATATATGTGTGTGTATGTGTGTATTTTACGTTGTGGTTTCTTCTTCTAGGTTATACATTTAAAAGCAAAAAGTATATACAATCACTTAGACCGTTCTAGGTTGAATTACTACGGATGTCACTTGCTCCCTTGTGTAGAAAGTAACATGATGCGTGATGCGTGATCACACAAAGAAATATATAGCTTAGGTACCTAACATAGGTACCTATGTAAGCATACACTACAACTTATTCCATATAACTCCGGGCATAAGTTTAAATTAATTCTATTACTTTATTTAAAGCTACTTAAACTACTTTAAATTACAATTCATTCTGTGAAATTCCAGGTATAGGGTTAAAACAACTCCGCTGCTTTATTCGCTGCTTTATTTGAAAAGGGGCATGTTTCCTTCTTTTCCTTTTGTGGCAAATTTCTCGTAAGGTCTTCATTAGCTTGGTTCTTCCGTCTATATTATGGCTACTGTGGGCAATCCGGATGTGTTGACTCATGATAACATTAGAATACAGTTATTGCAGCGCCTTAGGGGATCCAGCGTTAATATTCCAGATCTATGGCATTTCATAAGCCACTGGCCTCAGAGAGTTCATGGAGAAATCGAACGGCTAGATGAAGACATACAAAGGGTACTTGCAGGGTATGATGCCCAAGTACTAACCTAGCAACTTACGACTTCTAATACGCTGCAGCTTATTCCCTTCCCCAAGTGACGAGGGGCGGCTTCGAAAGATGAAGGCTTCCAATTTTGCACTTTTTGGGGCTTTGTGGTGGTCATTTGCGCCATTCGAGGCTTTACGGATCGGTACATATCTATGTATCTGGGTAAGACCTAGAGAATAACATCGTCCATATATCTGGGCTACTAATAGGTATATTTTGGGAGTTGTTTGCCTGGGATGACGGTACAGCATCATCATATGTCTAAGTAAAGGGTGGCTGGTTAACATTCTACTTGACTTAGAAACCGATTCGCTTGAATTCTCTGGTATCTCGAACGATGCGGATGCTGCCGCAAATTTTCGACATGAGACTGCTACCTATATTCAAGAAAGTCTGTCTGGGAAATCAGAGATTGACCTCATTCACATATCCACCAATCCGATCGTCACTAGCTTTAGACCTATAGGTGAAGCGATATCAAAATCTTGCAACGCGCGTGAGTTCACCTCATCCGTAATATATTTAGCTAATATTCCAAAGGCCAAACCAATACCTTGCTCGACGAGTTATTGTTCTACGTGAAAATGTGTGGGGAGGAGCAGCGATATCAAACAACCCCCTATCTACCAACGATTGAAGAATATAACCGCATACGAGCGGGCTCGAGCGCTGTAAGAGTCTGCTTGGCTGCTATGGAGTAAGGGCTCTAATTGTTGAAATTATACTTATATATTTCCTCTTCAAGTTTCTCGCATATACCAAGGAGCAATATACTAAAAACCACTAGATATGCCCATGGAATCAACTTGCCCGAAGAAATAATGAATAGTCAAAAGATGGAACAACTCTGGCACGAAGCAACTATTATTATCTCGACGTGAGCATATACTCTGAATGGCCTTATTGGCCTGGCTAATGGTCGCCCTTATAGTACTAACGACATCCTATCTATCAAGAAAGAAGTGGTGAGTTGGTGAAATAAATATATATTGTTTCTATCTATATCAACGTTAATGATCTGAAGGCGCAATCGCAACTTGATACACTTATCCCTCTCCTTATGCTCGAGTCTCGGTCCATCCAAGACGCAATTGACCACGCCGCCAATATCATAAGTGCTTCAATCAAGAGATTTGAGTCTGTAGAGGAAGAAATTTTAGCACAGTATTCCTCCATGCCCCACGCCCATGAGGACTTGCGTAAGTTTCTTGAAGGATGCAAATGTGCCTGTACGGGAAACTTAAAATGGAGGTAAGTGCTTCATGACACTATCTTGGCTCTCGGTTCAGCTGAGCTAGAACTGGATAATGCTGAAATATCAACTACATATAGCATCACCTCTGAGAGATATCAGATTGGTTGTCAATCGATGCAAGGCGGCATCCATGTTACCCTTTAGCGGTCTCGACAGAAGTAGATTTCAGAAGGGTAAGGGCTAGGACTGGTCAGGCAACGAGGATGGCATGTTAGGAGAAATATTACTGTCAGTGAGTTTGTGGATAGGGGCCTACATGTAGGGCACCGTAGTTTTGGGTAGAAGTAGGCGTCAACGAATTTCTTGTTAGGGATGAGTGTAGGGCCAACTTAGTATGCTACCTTCTTTATACACTCATTAGATACCTAGCTACCCAGTTAGAACTTACTCTCCTAGTCATACAATATACTCTGACCATACTTATACCATACCCTCACTCTTCAGTGACACTTGATACGGTGCATTGCGCCGTTACCCCTGAGGCTCGTAGAGGCTCATCAACCCCGTACAAACCATAACAGGATGGCTACCTGTCACTATGAGCGATATATCATACCAAGGGCGGCCTACTACCCAAGCCAACCCCCCCCCCCCCCCCCATTCTATCTATACTTCCCATCATTACTAAATCAAGATATGCATTCTCTAAGGTCTATCAGCAAGCGTCAACGTGCGGTCACGCATCCTGATTTTTACCCGTTATCCAACTATTGTCCAAACTCCGCGATCCCAAACCATTCTAAAATAAAAACCTTGCTATGGTGCAGTACCTCGCTGAACTATATCATACAATATACGTTGGAAAGCTAGGCCTTTCCATTGCCTACAATTTCAATATCATCGTCCGATGACCCTGCAGACAGCTCCCTCTCAACCCACGCCGAGATATTTGAAGCAGCCTCCATAGGGTTGTCTAAGTGCAGTTGGAAAAACCCTTGTAATTGAGAAGGGGTAAATGTGTCTTCTGGGATATGCGTCGCGAATTCCGAAGCGAGCCTTCGTAACAGCCCATGATCTACTTGAGGAACGTGATCATAACCCAATTCATCGTTATCTTTTTTTGAGGGCAATAACGGTAACGTATTAGCGTCTGACATGAACATGCGGAGAAACATCTGCTCAGCTGAACCTTTACTGATGTTGCCAAGCATGACTTTCATATCGACACGACCAGGCCGCACCAGAGCGCTGTCTAACCGATTCGGTTTATTTGTCGTCATGATTACGATACGCCCTTCTGGGGACCCGACACCATCTAAAACATTGAGCAAACCGGAAAGAGTACAGTTCGATACAGCCTCGTTATGCGGCTCGCGATTCGCCAACTCGCGCTTCACCCAGATGGCATCAACATCCTCTAGGAGTACAATACACTGCGGCGGAACCTCGTTGAACATTTGCTCAAGATCTTGGTCGGTCGCTACGCTTGGAATCTTAACTTCGTATAAGTCGAGGCCAAATTCGCCCGCTAGAGCAGTCGACAGCGACGACTTTCCCGTACCTGGTGGCCCATAGAACAAATAACCTCTACGATAAGGCATGCTACGACTCTGGTACAATTTCTTGGTGTTGGGGTCGAGGTATTTTCTTATATCTGTAAGAAGTTCCTGTTTCAAGGCGTCGTCAAAATGAACGGTCTCAAGACGACGGATGGGCTTGCGAGACTTTGGCTGCCAGGACATGCCGTAACGATCTCGCGCATAGATAATGACATAGTATTGAGCCTGTCTATCTGCATATTCCTGGCAATTCTGAATGAGCCTCCTGATAGGCTCGGTTGACCGTCCAAGACAGCCTATGGTCAGCTCTTCTCCTCCGATGCCATCGTAGGTAGAGTCGACCATAGATGCGTTGAAGCTATCGAGCGACCGTCTAACTACGAACAGATTACTCTCATACAAGAACCATACTGTTTCAAAGTGAGGCAGATACTGGATGTCGCGACGAGTCTTCTTTAGCAAGGCGGCTCGGTCCGCGATAGCACCATGTTGGATTTGAGTGCGGGCCGTAAAAGACCGTATGCCTCGAAATTGCACGACATTGGTTAAGACCCAATTCGTCACATGCCTATTCAGCGGGTCCCGTCCGGGTATCGTCACGTAGGAAATGAAGAAGCGACTGACCCATCCATACACTTCGCGCCAAGCTGTCTTTACAAGCCGCCACGCTGCGGGGGCAGCGCCGACGCACGCGGCGAGGGATCCTAAGCGTGTGATGTCTAGCCCGGTTATCCAGTGACCAATTATCTCCCCAATAGAGTTGAGGCCATGCATTGATGGGTCAAGGAAGCCATGGCTCGTTGCAACCCCAAGGTGAAAAGGCCGCATGATAGCGGCGCCGCTACCGTGGAATTGACCAAGGCGGCTTAGTTTCCCATAACTTAACAATCGCGCCGAGAGCTGAAGAAGGGGAACGATGATAATATTAGTTATGAATAATGCATGAAGAAGGTTTTTAGAAAGAAAAAAAAAACAGATGACGGTTGAAATTAAATCCACATGATATTTTATTGAAATAGATTACATAGGAACAGTATGAATGTTACCGAAGCTTATCGGTCGAGGTGAGCTCGGTGAGATGAAATTTAAAAAGGAACCTTAGGTAAGAAAAGAAAAAGAAGAAAAAAGGACCGATTTTGCGCCACAAACACCGCCACGCCTATCGTATTATACATAGGATGGACCTTATCGTACATACGCCCTTACATTCTCTTAACCTATTCTCTTAACCTAGGCTTTTCCTTTTAAATGTCTATCCCATTTTACCCCTGAATGCTGAATGTTGAATGAGAACCAACACAACGCACCCACACTATTTCTAGTCTCTTATATTCCGTATGAAAAGCCAACAACAACAACATAACAGGCTTCACATATTTTACATGGGTAGCCGACATATGCATGCTACCTGTATGGACCCCTAAAAGAAATCCTCCTCGAATTCGCACTGATGTAACATTTAGAGAATTATTCCTATGACCCTCTGGACTTCTATTCCACGACAGGATGCTCGCCTCATTCGCCTACTCTTTCTTCCCACTTTCGCCATTTCCTTCAACGGACAATGGTCAATGGGTTGAACGATGAGCTGGCAGCTAGCCCATGCTACTTACTCCTGCATGTGGTATAAATGCGGTATACATGTGGTATACTCCTCCAATCTGATTGAGGGGCACGAGAGCCTGCAGCATCGCCAATTCTAATCCAATCCCCATTCGACATGCAACGAATCACCGCAGGAGCACAGGATTTACGTCTTACTCTACTCCCCATTCCTGGGTCTTGCAACCCTCGTCGACCAACCTGGCGATCTGAACTGCAAGGATCTGTCCGGCGCCGGTTTACATATGCACGAGCTGTACTATGGCATACCATTGCATCCCGTCGCATCATTATCTTATCCATCTCCTCCCCCCCCTTTTTTTTCTCTGTTTGGGCAATGCACTTAAACGCTGTCTCATCGTGGAATACGTACCGCCAAACCACACACGGCTCCACGGCTCCACGGCTCCACGGCAGCCACTGAGCATCAACTCTTTTATCCGGGTAGTGCTTGTCCAACCGCTACATATAGAATCCGCCCTCCGGCACTCGGCCACCTTCGCTCGAGTTAGCCTAACGATTCTTCCGTGTACCAGGGTATGACTGCCTTTCCGCTGAGATCTACCTAGCTTCGGGGTCTGCATATCGTCATGTCCTACCTCTGTGGTGGTCCCTGTAGGCGCCGGAGCAGCTCCCACAGACGGGATCCTACAGCGTGTCAGCTCAAGAAGATACTATAGACGAATTATATCGTCTTACTGCTTTGAGTCCGCACACATTGACCCTATCACAAATTCCCCGTCTGCGCCGTAGGTCCTCCATGTACTACGTCCCCAAATCGATCGTCGTTAGTCGTTGCCGAACAGCGAGACGAATAAGATTCCGGCCAACCTTCATCAACGACCCCGCTATCGTCGTCAGTTATTCGGCTGTACACCTGATGTAGGCGTCTAGAGTGAGTGGCCGTCGGCCCACGCGAGATAGTGATCGCTAGTTACACGCTGCGACCTTACAGAGCTGGTTGGAGTAGGCTGCAGATAATAAAATCGCTCCCTTCGCCCAACCTTCTCTTCTCTGGCCGGATTCCCTTCGTCGCCGGGCCCTTTTACTTCGTTTCTCGACGTTCACTGCGCCTATGGCGCGCCATGCTTCGAAATTATCATTCTTAATCTTCCACTCCGTCGGTGCGCAGATTGCCTGAAATGTATATACCCCAGACGAATCCTCACAATCCCGATTCCTCTCTGGCTCCGGCCATAAGACTTGGTCCGGGCCTAACATCCGCATTAGAGCTCATCATACATGGCACTCTCCCCCTTCTCAAGTCGGTCTCATCCCAGGCGCGCCGGCTCCTTGCCCATGGTCTTGGCATATTCCCAACCGCCCATGATCATGCATCGAACCTACAAAAGCGATCAGGGGCGAGCGTAAACACCACTATCGGCGTGGTAGTTGGTATTCTCCTAGCGGTTTTCCTGGTCGGCTTTTTTGCCTTCCTATACTTTTACGGGAGGTCAATTCGCTTTACTCGCAAGAGGCGTCATCGTCGCAAATCTTCCGGTTCGAAAGGCAACTCGGAAGGCGGTACCGGCGGCGCCGGCGGCGATCCTCCAGCGCCTGCATAGCAGGCTTCATCTATTCCGATATTGGATCGTCTTTACGAAGTTATGCGGCTTGAAAAAAGTTACGACTGCGAGCGGCAGCGCCCTACGAGGATGGTAGAGGCAACACGATGGGCATATGGCTCTAGTTACAGGAATTTTATCGGATACCTACCTAGGTAGTTACAGACCGGCTTACACGGCGGCCAACAGCAGAATGAACGGGCTCTTGTTATGAATCACGAGTAACGGTTATTTATATCGGGTTTATCATGTGTGTATGATACGAGAACAAGATTTGTACGAGGCATAGGAGTTTGGGGTTGAATTGGCATAGCGAGCGATGGTCGCCTACCATATTATTTTTGATGAATTTTCTACCTATTCCTATTTTCCCATTCTCACGATGGTGTTTTGCCGTAGTAAGGAACCCACCCCGAACGCTGAAGGTCCCAGGTGAGTTTAACCACTCGACCAACGGACCTAGGTCGCCTCATTGCCCCCACGCTCGTTGATCGTCAATCTAGCGTTGATGCCCAACGGAGTGCTTTACCTGTGCACCCACCATCAGTTATATCGGGCTCTCGGCCACATTCCATTCTATGCCAACTCAGCCCCCTTGTCGCGCAATATCGCTGCGTTAAACCAATCATATTAGTTCTTAGCCAACCACCAAAGCTCTTCTTCAACTTCAGTACCTTTCTGCCACGACCTGTTCTGTCGTACAACATATGTTCGCCTTCTATGCATAAGGTACAGGTGGACCCCTGACACGACTCCACGGCCAAGTTGCCAACTCTTTCTTATCTCATAAGTCAGCTTCAAATAAGCAACACGTCCGTAACGTACCTATGGTGCCTCATCCTATACCGACTCTTTCCTTGCGCTACTACTTGGTGTCAGAATATTTAAGATGTTATTACGCCGGCCGCAATTCGCTCGGTCCAATAGCTCCCACGCCGTCGACTAGCCGTGAACAAACTGGCCAGCATCGAGCCGAGACACGAGCTTGTGATGCTCGGGCATTAGAGCCTTTGCTAGCTGGCAGGTAGAACACCTGTCTTGTAACGCTATGCTTGTTGTAACCGAAGCACGTTGGTAACATTAGGAAGAATATCGTAAGATCGTCAAGGAAGAAGTATGTCCTATCCGGAGTAGAAGAGTACACTTCTGATGTGTCCCGCCTTAAGTTGGGTATGTCTGATTACTATTACTGTCAATACGAACTAGAACAGTAAACCCAGGACGGGATGGGCAAGAGTCGTTCCTAGAGATGGAAAGAAACCAGGTGTTAGAAGTGCGTTATTCCCCTTACTACTATTCTTCTAATTTTCCAGTAAGATTTATCGGCAACAAGGAGGGTTTTCAATACCCATATTATATCAAATTAGACTTCGAATAAGGGGGACCTGTCATCTTGTAGGTGATAGCTGAAATCATTACTGCTAAACGAGCCCCCATTATCAAGACATGGAGAGTATACCTGGATATGTTTACGCCAGACACATACCTATAATACGTTCTAGCAATCTAATGGACCCTTATTATATCCCACTAGGTTGGGGTTCTCCTAAATATCAAGAGCTCCAACGTAGGTACACTTCCGAAACCCAAATTGGTATTGAAATACGAGAGTTATAGAAAATATCGTAATTCAATTGACAGTCCTTTTTTTTTTTTTTTTAATCTGTTAAGGAAATAAACAAATCTCGGCATAGCAGTTAGATAAGGATGACGCTCGAGTTTGGCCCTTTTAGAGTGCTCGTCGCGTATACGAAAATGCCATGAATTATAAGGGATAACCTGAATCATGGATTCAGCGTTCGATTAAAGAATCAACCACGAGCCACGTAGAAGAGATATGGGAGAGGGTATTTGCGTAGTAACCAGAGAATAGATGCAACTCGTGCAGGTGAATACATCCTTCCACCTACTCCTACTCTCCTGTTAACTATAACTGAACTCGGTTTTGCTATATTATTATGTACTGGTAAAATCGGAAATAGAAGAATAGAAGTTGCCCTAAAGAGGCTAATTTTTACTCGACTTATTTCCAATATAACTAACAGTTCACAAAGACATCTCAAGCTTGAAGGCTCTTCCTAAGCTGGGCACGTTTACCCAATACTTTACATACTCGAAGATATCATATACTGGCTATACATCCAATCAAATCGCGTAGAGAAGTAAACACGGCTATTAAATTACTTTCCTATTAAGCCATAAAATTTCGACACAATAACCCCTCGTAAACTCGGCCACTCGGATATAATATACCAGCCCCTTGTCGTAGTTCAAACCCCCGGCTTTAACAGCAATCTATCAAGGGTGGTGTTAAAGGGATTCAGCCGCCAAGAAATTCAACAGAGGCATAGACAAAGATCCTACATGGTATTTTTTTTTCTCAACCAACAACTGCCTAAATCGATGGTCAGCACCGTCACCAAGGCGGCGCAAGGCAGTCTTAATAGCCTCGAGTACTTATACTCCAGCTTTGACGTCGCCTCTCGCCAGTTATAAAGTAACAGTTATACATAACTACCTGGTAGGTTAGGTAGGTTAGGTAGTTATTCAGGAAACTCAAACTGGCGAGCCCCTCGCCTATTAAATCGTATTATATCTACTAGATATTAGAAAATGAAGACCTGGACACCGGTTTTCTCTATTGCGGCGCTTCTGCTGCCCCTCGCGGCGGCCGATTGTGATAAGTTCGAATTCAGGGGTGAATGCGGTAGAAACGGCTTCACCACGATATATAACCAAAGCATACTAACCTCTTCATGGACGAACTGTACAGAGGAGCTTGCGGAGCAGACTGGTTACCATAATGGCACCTGCATATTCCACTACAACAGTACGTCTAACCCACTTGCCAGCTTCACTCAGCTGGCATGTCTCTAACACCATACTCCAGCGGGCTTAGTAGTACACCCTGAGATCCGCCTCGTCGATTTCGACGGGGAGACATCGGAGCATATATTCTCACTCGTAAGGGAAAACGCAAACCCTACCGCGTCCAGCCTCACAGACTTCAACGCTACGGTAGTCATGGACTACACGGTAGTCAACAATATCTTGCCCACCGGCTTCGATGGGTACTATACTTTCACGCCCGATATACGCTGTTTTGACGGCGTGCTTTCCGACTGTGATGATGACGACGACGACGATCCCGGGGACACCAATGCGGGCAAGCTGATCCGTGCCTGCGGTCTGTCATGGATTAATGAAGACCAGTCCCGATTAAGCCCTGGCCACCAACAGTACTCTGGCCACGAGTCTTTCGTTCAGACAAGTAGGCCTGCCCATGATCAAGAGGAGCCGCTGCCTAGTTATGATAACGTCGTCAACCAGACCACCGTTGTCAACCAGACCACTGTTAACAATCAGACCACCGTTGACAAAGACAATAGTTCAGCCAGGAGTAGGGTTATCAGCACAACTCTACTTGCTGCGCTAATGTGCGCGGCATACAATTTCATATAAGAACTGAATTATATAGATATCAACCCTAATACAGCCTTAATAAGGAGTAGCAAAGCGTATTTAAAGTAATGACTTTAGGCTACCAATCGCCTTCAGTGCCTCCTCCCTCACCTCCTTCGTGATCTCCGCGGCCGGCTGCTCTTTCTTAATCAAACCGACTCCCGTTCCGCTAATAGAGGTTAGCTAGAGTGTTATATATATATATATATATACAATACGAGCAAAGAGGACCAGGGCTGCTTACGACCAAGTGACCAGCCTGGACACGTCGCCACTGTCTTTGGCAGCGTTGAGCCGCTTCGCGTTCTCGTCTAGAGGTATCCCGGCGACGTGGTCGCGGTACGTTGGGGTAACGATGGCGCGGCCGTCATAGATCTCGGGCCAGTGTATCTCGCCTGTGATGTGGTCGTGGACTTGCGACCTTGGTGGCGCGGATAAGCGCAGTATGTTAGCACACTCGATTCTAGCGAGTAGTACATAGGTAAGGTAAGGAAAGGGGTAGTAGATATATAGATAGAATATAGATAGAACTTACTTTACCGTATTGGAGCCTCCATCTGACGTAGCTATGATGGCCTTTCTCTTGTAGTCTTGCGCGTCAGACTCGGGTGCTACCATGTACTATGTAGGCACTCCATGTCAGCAAGTCAACTGTCGCACATATGACTTTCATCGGTTGCATAGACCGGTATTGAGGGACTCACCCTTGTACCGAGTACAGCGCCCTCGGCACCTAATGCCAGCGCTGCCGCAACCCCTCTACCATCAGCGATACCGCCGGCAGCCCAAACCGGAATCTCCTTGTCGGGAAACTCGTTGCGCAACATATCTATGACCTCGGGAACTATGCTCACAATACCAGCACCGCTCACCCACTGGTGACCGCCGGCGTCGATACCCTGCGCGACGATTATGTCGGCTCCGTAGGCGACCGCCTCTCGAGCGGCCGCCACAGTCCCGACCTGGACCACAATCTTGGGGTTCCACGGACTTCCCCGAGACCTTAACTCCTTTACGATAGCCGAGTGAGTTCCTGGTGCTTTAGGCGAGGGCGCAAATAGCCATATCGCAGCTGGTCTGTGCCGCTTCAAAATTGGCACGACCGTCTCACCAAAATACCGTGCGGATGGCATGAATGTGAGAACCCCCACGCCGATGGGTAGGTAGCTACTATCATTCTTAGATGCCTCTAGGTCGAGGAGTTGCCACGCTTGGGTGAGTTGGTCATCGAGCTTCTTTAGTGCAGGTGAGTCCGGGTTGAAGTCCCGACCAGCCTGGATAAAACCTAGGAAATTGATATACCTATCAGCACACCAGGGAAGACTTGATATCGTTTATATCATCTGTAGAGTCATCTGTAGAGTCATCTGCAGAGCAACTAACCTAACCCTCCAGCTTTTGTTACCTCGGCTGCCAGCCTTATATTGGCAACTCCGCCCATTGGTGCACTGATGATTAGAGGGGACGCGGTGGTCGGGAACCACGACTTCATACGTGAGGCTGCCATGGTCGCTAATCTTTTGTACGCTGTGCTCATTTGAATGTTGGAACTGAATGTTATAAACTAGGTACCTTAGGTAGGTAACTTAGAGAGAAGTGGTGGTGATTTGTCTCGGTGGTGTTTGTGATATATCTAAAAGTTATCATCTCCGCGGAAATGCCGAGGTTAGAAACAAAAACCAGAACCTTCCTTTCCTTTTTGCCATGGAATTATTTCTAAATTTCAGTTGACCCTCACGTCCGAGTTTCCCTACGATGCATCAACTCTGCTTTGACTGGAAAGTCCCTGAATCCCGAATCATGAGTAAGGGATGACCACCAAAAAAAAAAAAAAAGAGCAAACATCATGATTCATGCGTCGCATAGACCAAAGTTGTTACTTGATATATAAATATCTCCTCGGAATGTTCTCTCTCAACCAAGGTTTGAGATAATAAGCCAAGGTCATCAAAGCACGAAATATATGTGAATTGTATGTAAGCTGCTACTATTGAAAATACCAAGATACCAAGATACCAAGATACCAGGATACTAGGATACTAAGATTAATTACCTAATCTCATCCTTCCATAAGACCTGCATCTCGGAACCAATTAGAAGAGGCATACGGCATCTAATTTTCCCCAATGAGGGGAACCCCCCACCTTGATTCCCCGCATCAAGCTGATATATATATTTGGACATCTCTTAAGTACTGTACCTGTTGGTTGACATGACATCATAACACCGCAATCAGAAAGAGAGTATTATTTTCATTAATACGTTTTAATGAAACAGCACACCAGTCAAACTTTGCGACAAAACACAAATTGCTGGCCCAAAGAATTCTTCTGTACTTCTTTTCTGGCTTGTTACCATTGCTGGTAATCATCCATCTATCATCTATCTGGATGAATGCAACCTACTAAAAACCGATTGCTTAAAATGGTTCCTAGTCTCATGACTACATCACCCTTGGTTCTCAGTAATCCTTCCTTCGTTGACTACCTTAGCTGGTTTGCCTTAAACTCAGCTTAGATACATACTGGCCTCGCAAAACACGCCACGCCACTCGTCCTCTAAGTCGTGCTCGAATGCCATGAAGATTTGTCCGCCTTAAATTACCAAACGCCTGTGTAGTGTGATGCCAGCTGTACCGCAAAAAACAAACCCCAAAAGACATGCCCTTATCCGTGAGGTGTCGAATTCATATCGACTGTATACCGCCGGCCAACGCCAATGCCAATGCAGGGAATGTGATGCGATGAAAATAGAAATAAAATAAAAATACACTTGTCGAAGTGTTGCATACTGTTAAAATGCCGAAACAGGAATGCAGTTGCTTATTGGTGGGAATGACTCGGGGGCCGTTGATTGGCATATGCAGGGAGAAACTCAGGAACGATACCAGAGCGCAAATCATATCGTCGACCCAGTGGCTGGTAGTGCATCTGGCTCGAGCCCAGGTGATACTGGGAAAGCGGAATAGACGGGGGAGGGTTGAGAAGGGTATTGACGCGACGAACAGGTTTGTAAGGACTCGCTCGCTGTTGTAGGTATACCAGGGGCGAATTTGAGATCGGAGTATGGGTTCCATACGATTCGGCTAACGGAGACGAACCAAACGGAGTTAAACCCGTTGGGCTCTCTCGCTTTATCGGAGTGCCATAGTTTGACGGAATCGCATAGGATGGCGTCTGCGGTCCGCAAGTAGTGAGCACCGATCCCTGGGGCGCCCACCCAGTCGTTGTGGGGTATACTGTCGACATAGCCTTCATTCCAGCCCCGAGAGGTGGTAACGACACACTCGGCTGCGAGTAGGTGGACTGGGTTTGGTATACGGGTGGGATGATTGCCTGGCTTGTGTCAAGCGTCAGGTGTGGCACAGGCAGTCGAAGCGGTCCGGCGCTCCCATGAACTTGCTGATTCGGCGGCATCGTTGTAACAAGCGGTTGGCGAGTGATTCGCTTCGGAGCGGGCTCAACTATGTCTCCTTCCTCTAACCCTCTCTTTCGCACCATTGGGTGACCTAAACTCGGCTTGGCTGCAAGCGGGGAAACCGATGGGGTAGGATGGTAAGCATTCCAGCTTTGAGCATGAACTACAGAGCTAGGAGAATATGCCGCCGCAAGAGCTAATGATGTTCCCTGCCCTGTTGACGATAGGATGCCGGTCGGTGAAAGTTGCGGAGAGAATTTGACGTGAGTCGGCGAGGGTATATTCATCAGCATAGGAGGCGGGGCTTTTCGGCGCTTCTCTTCCATAACCGCTCTTTCGTGGTATTCGTGGAAGCAAGCCAGCTTCTTTAACCATTCCTCCCACTCTTCCTTAGATGTCAATAAGCCATATCGCATGTTGCTCAAAAATTCTACTTCCATGACGTGAATTTCTTGTACCGAAATAGACGAAACTTCTGCCCACGTGTGGTTCGTATAGGTATTGTCATCCAAAACTAGGATACTTGTTAGAAAATTTGTGATACAAAGCTACCAAGACACTTACATTTGTTGCCTAACATTAGAGCCACTGTTAAGAGCCGGTATTCGCTACCCGGGCTACCATTCACCTTCGGATTCGCCTTTTTCAGCCGATATACAAACAACAACGCCAATAGGATCACGTTCTGCGTTACTTGAGTCGTGGAAAGGGTTTTGTTAACCCACTGCTTATACGCGGGACAAGGTTCGGTATATGCGGATAATGAGGGGATCGGCTCGGAGGGTGAACGTTCCTTGATATGCTCCGCAGCATTTATCGTATCCATGGTTTCGAACCAGAAGAAGCAGGTCATCTAAGAATATGTCAGCCGATGTACAATTAAATAGAATAAATCGAAACCTACTAGGGCGGCAAAATCATCTAGATTCCCCCCGTTTGGACTAATACATGTGGGGAGTTGCAGACTGTGGGTTACCATAGTCGAGTCCTTCTTGGAGACTGTGCCTTCCGAATGTGCGCTGAGATTGCCAGTAGAGGCGGGGGTGGTCGATCTAGTCGATGGCCTCGAAGACGGGTGCGATTGCTGAGGAATAATCGTCTGGGAGGGATAATGCTGCTGATATTGCGATTGGTGAGTCGGATGAGCTGCAGAGAACCCAGTTACGACATCACAGAATACTCCTCCAGTTCGATCCGCCTGCACTAAGCCGGCCGGCTGTCTTGCTAGAGCTACATGGCTGTTGTACGTGTTCGATAACACGGGGTTGTGATATGTGGCGCTCATGTTATTCTCGGCCGGGGGCGTTCGAAGACCACCCTTGAAGAAGGCAGTTCCACGGAGCTGCAGATGGTCTCGTAGCTTTTCGCTACTGTTGCTGCTATAGTCTTGGGTATGGCGTAGCGGATGTGCCGTAATATGGGTTGGAGATGGGAGGTACGGGCGGAAGCTCGAGGGCACGGCGACTGAAGACATGTGGGATCAATCTGGTTTGGCGTTTTGAGTAAAGGACAGAGAAGATCGGAGTGACAAAGAAATGAATTAAATAGAGTTCCTAGTCATGAAGGGTTTGGTTGAGGTCGCG